CTGTAAAATATGACGCCGGCGTGAAAAAGATGCTTCTTCGATGCACACCGTCGCCGTCGCCGCCATATTGGGCGAGTCACGATTGGTCGCAAACATGCTTTTCATAAAACGTGAACTAGAAGAAAACCCAAGCAGAGGATTTTTCAGAACTAGATACAGTATCGCCAATAGCGGTTAAGAAAGTAAGCAAAACTCTCTTGAGAAACCAGAAAAATTAGGCGTGAAGAAATAAGTTTTGGTATTTTAAAATAAGTGTAAGAATTAGAGTTAGTAATAGGATTAATGGTCAAGTAATCATATTCCGAAAACCACTGCTCCGATTCTACCTAATAGCATAATCATTTGCTATAATAATACCAGGTGGCTATCAGCCTGATCCACTGCGACCTTTTCAGATCTATTCTGGGGTCTCTTATCTGATCCTTAGGATACATTATCCAGTCCTATCCTTTTCACCAAGTCTAGCAATTTGGAGACTGAACTATGGCTTACCGTCCATGTAGCTGCTTGGCAATGGCCTATCATTGCCTAGTACAAAGAACGGAAGATTTGCGATGCTGTGGCACCAACATTAAATGTATTCTATCGTTTCTTCAGAGTGACAGAACCTGCATATTGCTTTCTCCGTCAATTCCATCAGCATTAAGATTGATTCTCACTATACCTTCCGTTTCTATTCCATATCCGTTCCGTCTTTTTTTATTGTATTGACACTATACGTAAGCTTCCGTTCCGTATCAGTTCCATACTTTTTATTGTACAATTTATATAATTACGAAAGTTTTCTTTTAGAAATTTGTATCTTTTGAAAAAAATAATAGATTTCATTAAGAGGTGAAAGAATGAATAAATATCAGCAAAATTTTAACAGAACTGGTACAAATGTAAGAACTTAACAACGCTGTTTCCAATACGCTTCAGTTCGTCCGCCAAAAAAATGTATGGAAGGAAAGGATATGGAACGGAAGGAAAACGAAACGGGTAGTCTGCATTGTCCTATTCATTTACATGATATATTTTATGTAAACGGAAGGGAGCTGATATGGAAGGTATAGTGAGAATCAACTTTTAGATGTCTATTCAGCTTACAATGCCCTATTAGTAGACCCGCGACAGCTTTGACTGAAACAAGAGCAAAGACAGAAACTTTGCTTATCAGGTCTGCCGTGAATTTTGGCGAATTTTCAACTATAAACTTTTTCGTCTGTTTCTGCCCTGGTGAGCTTCTCCACCATTCTTAAGATTTGTTGGCAAGCCAAAGGTTTGTAGCCAATCTCATAAATGTTTGGCCATTTCATTTGCCTTTTCATACCCTTATGACCCTAGTTCCCGGTACCAATCACTTTGCCTGGTACCCAGTAATATTGCTACGCTTATCCAATGTATTTAGCACACCCTCAATCCCGCGCTAGTCTAGAATTGACCTCCGCGGAACAGAGTGCCTTTAGCTCTGCTTGGCTCTCTATGAAGATAGCTACAGAACGATGTGCTTTTACAGCAAATTTGTAAACACATTTTTTAAGGTTCTGAGTATAGTAAATACACATGACAAATTTGAACAAACCGATTTTAACTAATTTAAGAAAAACAGCATCTATTTTTAAATTAAAACTGAACAGGTAACAATTCAAATCCAGGCAAATGCCAACATACCTTAATTTCTCAACCTATGATTTTTTCATTGTCAATTCTAGTTTTAAAATATTAATTTTAATTATACACCATTATACACCAATTTTAAGATAATACTCTTAAAATTTAACAGTAATAATAATTTAGTGTAATTATTACGACCTACATCTATGACCTGAGATCTGGATAATTTAGGAAGTATTGGAGAAAATGTAAAAAAAAATGACAGCACATTTAAATAATAATAAATAAAGCTTTATTGTACAAAAAGCCAAAATGCATTTAAAAAATAAACAAAAAGCATTTAAAAAATAAACAAAAGCACAAAAAATATACAAATATGAAACAATACAAATCATACAATTCAAAAAATTTACGTAAAGAAAACATACATACATACATTGCAGAACACAAAAAAAACGTATCAATAAAAATTTTACAATTTTAAAATTGTAAATGGTTATAATCACTTAATAGTTATCATAAAATATTAAACACAATTCAAAATAAAATTCACAATTATTCTAGATTAAACAAAAAAGTCGTTTACCACATATAGCGCTCTCACAATAGGAATTGACCTTAAATCCAAGGAGGCAATAGAGAAAGAGGGACATATCCTCCAGTATAGATACGGGACAACACCGGTATCACGTCTAAGGAGAGAGCAAGTTAAAGAGGTGGAGAAAATGGATACAGATCCTCCAGTCTCCTCCTCACGGGTTCCTCAGCCGGAGGCAAGCTCCTCGGCTTTGAAAGGCGGCACGGAGGGCCAAATTCCAACCGTGGAAGGGTGTGTACTCTCGGAGGAAGAACTGTTGTCAGAGGAGGATGGGAAATACACTGTCCCCTCTACAACAGGGGTATGATGGGTTTTAGACTGTGTGATGACTCAAGGAAGGGGGGCACAATAGATCTTTAAGATCGCAGTGATTAACCCTCCCTCTTACTCATTCTACATTCTACATATAGCGCTCTCTCCAGTAAGTATGATTTCACAGCTTTGCGAAATGCGGAAAAGAATGAAAGCGACTTGATATCCAAAGGCAGATGATTGTACATTTTTTTGGCATTGTACAGTATTTAGCCTTTCATTCTTCAGCATTCTTTGCGGATTAACCAAACGGATTCAAGAAATTCTGACAGTGAGTTCTACTGTTCAGTCCCAATAAATATCGAACTGCTCTATTTTGAAGTTTGGAAATACGACCATATTTTTAAAATTTTTCAAATTTCAAATTTTGTCGGTCATATTTTATTTAATGATAGTAATAAAATAGCTATACCCAGGAATTCTAGTTACAATATAATTTATCTCATTACGTTGATGTTCAAATACAACGGTTGTAAACAAAGTAATTACTTTAGCTAAATAAAATCCCGCTCATAAACTTCTGTTACTAAACTCTGTCTCTGATTTTTATGCTGTGTCATCGAGTCCTGCTATGGGGCAGTTAGCGACGTCACACTCCATTAACCGTTTTGCGGTTTGTATCGCGTCGACCGAAACTTCGGCAGTTTGCGGCTTTTTAGTTAATTTGATTAGCTTTTTTCGCCGCGAATGGATGCACTTGTGGTTTACGACGAGGGAGAGCTGATGTAATAAATGAAATGACATTCTCGTTAGCATTTGAACGAGCAAAGCTTTTAGCCGACATATTGTTATTCCAAGTAGTTATTTAGTTTTTAAGTGAGTTGACACTTAGTTAATTAATTAAAGTCCATACCTTTGTGGCGATGGCGATTCATTTCTTGAAAAAATGTGGGTTTTTGGTATAGGAAATTTGCGAAGGAAAACAGATATTTTTTGTAAGTACCACTACGTTGAATCCAAACGGAAACCAGATTGCCAGTGGTTTTTTTTTCTAGATGTTATGCTTTTTAGGGAAGCTTCTAGTCAGGTGCTAGGGGGAATTCCCTCTACCACTTTGACTGGGTCTAAGCAGCATCTCACTGTTTTGTCCCTGGCTGTAGTCTCGTGGCCAGGGTCGAATTGCACCAAGACGTATAACGATGCCGGATCCGATCATACTCCGTCATACCAGACAGCATTTACTGACTGTGCCATGTCTCGCGGGTAGAGGGTGTGGAGTGTAGGGGAGTCTTGGCTTAACCGCCTGGATCAAGAGGAGACAACATCACCAAAAACCTAAATCCTACAATGGCAGGTTACATTCGTTAAGGATTCGTTACTTTAAAAAAAATGTGTGTGCACTATGTGAATGAATTTTAAATTCACTTCACGCGCATATTTTAAGTGAAACTTCTGCTTACTTCCGTATGTCTGTCCGTCTCTCCATCTGTCCGTCTGAGAACTCCATTCGGGTACCTCTATCCACGTACCGAGTTTGGTTTCAACCGACCCATAATTAAGAAATATCCTGATGATTTCGTCCATTTAGAGATATCGGATTGAAACTTCGATCAATAATAATAATAATGCATCTAATGGAATATATGCTTAACAAACAGTCTAATGCTATGATCAGGCTATTGTGCTGGTTATATAGTGGACTGTATTTTTTAATAGTTTATTAATGTTAATATAAGATGTAACAAATTGTTTTAAATAAAACAAAGAAATGTAAATTCTTGCGGCTTGCCGGGCTGGTGGTAAGTGACAGGTCCCCTTCCGTCGGATTGCTGGACGTCAGGCGCAGAGATAAAAAGTCAAGATCGGTTGCAGCATTTAGATGGAGCGGGGGCAGCATTTAGATGGAACAAGTGCAGCATTTAGAAGTTTGAGCCCAAACATGGCCCCGGCCTTGAAAGAGTTACATCTTTCAAACATCAATTGGAAGAGGGCAAATCTTGGAAAAGCTTCTTTTGACTACACCTTGGGATGTTCTAATGGAGGCCACTCTACTGACGCCGTCAGAACCAGGATGAAGACTAATGATGCGACCCATTTTCCACTGAGTAAGAGGAGCATTGTCTTCTTTGATCAAAACTAGACTATCAACCTCCAGTTTTCCTTGGGAGCACTTCCATTTCTGTCTTTGTTGCAATTCGGATATGTACTCGCGGTGCCAACGTCGCCAAAAGTGTTGACACATCTGCTGGACAAGTTGAAATCTTGTCAGTCTATTGATCTTCGTATCTTCTAGAGCTTCGTCAGGTACAGCAGTCAGTTGATGTCCAATAAGAAAGTGAGCCGGGGTCAAAGAAAGGAAATCATTGGGATCGGAAGAAAGTGGGCAAAGTGGTCGAGAGTTCAAGATAGCTTCAATTTGGCACAACACCATAGTAAACTCTTCGAACGTAAGTCGAGCATTTGCTAGAATCCTTTTAAGATGGTGTTTGGTACTTTTAACTCCTGCCTCCCAAAGACCACCGAAATGAGGCGAATACGGAGGTATAAATAACCACTAAATTTTATCGTTAGCACATAAGTCAATTAAATTGGATGCATTTTGTTTTAGAAATTGACCGAGCTCTCTTTTAGCACCAACAAACGTGGTTCCGTTATCCGAGAGAATTTTATAAGGTTTGCCCCGTCTAGAGGTAAAACGACGCAATGCTTGGATAAAAGATTTTGAAGATAAAGATGATATGAGCTCGAGATGAATTGCTTTCGTGGAAAAACAGATAAAAACTCCCACATAACATTTGTCTTGAGTTTTCGATTGCGCTTTAAAAAATGGCCCTGCGTAATCTATGCCAGTTATATAAAATGGACTACTAGGAGTGACTCTTTCGCGAGGAAGTTCACCCATAATTGGTTGAACTAATTCTGGTTTAAATTTAAAACAGCGTAAACACTTTATAGATATTTTACGTGCTAGATTTCTGCCTCTGATCGGCCAATATTTTTCACGGATATGTGCTAAGAGTAACTGCGGACCTGGATGAAGTAAAATAGCATGCTCATATTCAAAAAGTAATTTTGTGAAATGATGATTCGAATGTAATAGAATAGGGTGTTTCTTTTCCCTTGGGAAATCGGAATGTTTCAAGCGACCACCCACCCGAAGAATGCCATTAGCGTCCAAAAATGGATTTAATTTACTTAATACATTGCTATCCGGTAGGCCCTTGTTATCCAACAACCTTGAAATTTCTTCAGGAAAACTTTGATTTTGTGCTGCTTTAATTAGAGATTTCAAAGAGCAACGCAACTCTGACACACTTATAGGCCCTTCAATGCGACTAGAATTTTTCTGACAGGCTATTGTAAATCTGAAAATATAAGCTGTGACATGTTGCATTTTTAAAAATGAAGAAAATCGTTCAAAAGGGAAACTATTATCTAGCATAGCTACAAAGTTAATGGATATTTTGATTTTAATTCTGGTAATAATTTGATATTTTGTTCATTTTGTGGCCAATATATTGATTCTTTCGCAAGCCAAGATGGCCCTTGCCACCATTCGATCGCAGTTAACATTTGACTTGGTAACAAACCGCGCGAAACTAAATCGGCTGGGTTGTCTGTACTGGGAATATATCGCCACTCGCAATCTTCAGTTAAAGCTTGAATCTCTGCAACACGATTGCTTACAAAGACCTTTAACGTATTTGGAGGGGTTCTTATCCAGGCCAGAGCAATAGTAGAGTCAGACCACAAAACGATTCTTTCAAAGAAAAGTTGAATAGAATTTAACACTTTGTTTACCAGTTTACTTAATAATAAAGCTGCACAAAGTTCAAGCTTAGGAATAGTAAGTGACTTCACCGGGGCAACCTTAGACTTAGCACATAAAAGCCTGATGACTGAAAAACCCTTTGAATCAATTGATTTTATATATAGGCAAGCCCCATAGACTCTCTCGGAAGCATCTGAAAATCCGTGTATTTCTAACGAACTTGGAAAATCAGCTAGGACATGACGACTAATTTGCAATGAATTTAAATTGGGTAAATCTTTACAGAATTTAGACCATTCGTTCGATAAGGAAAGTGTCAATGGCTCATCCCAAGATACCTTTTGTAGCCATAAGCGTTGCATGAAAATCTTTGCTAGCACAATACACGGTGATAGGAGTCCTAAAGGATCGAATAGCTTGGATAATACTGACAGAACGCTTCTTTTTGTATAATTACTTTTAAAAGGAATTTCTTCGATATGATACATAAGAAAATCATCTTGACAAGACCAAGTTAAACCCAAGGTTTTTGCCTTTTCCCCTGCGGTGAATTCTAAGACCTCACAAGAACTAGTAGCGTTATCCATATGACTTACAACGCTAGGTTCATTGGAATACCATTTACGCAGCTCGAAACAACCGTCTTTTAAGACCTTTGAAATTTCATTGCATATATATTGAGCATCTGGAATAGAATCCGCACCGGTCAACAAATGGTCGACATAAAAATCTTGACGAATGATATTCGCAATATCTGGGTTAATTTTTTCATATTCGTCTGCTAACTGGAATAGACATCGAATTGATAGAAAACTAGCACAAGCTTGCCCATAGGTAACAGTATTTAGTTTGTAAACTTTTACATCTTCGGAAGGACTAGAACGCCATAATATTTTTTGTAGTGACCGCTGGCTTGGTTCAACTAGTATCTGGCGGTACATTTTCGTAATGTCCGCTGAAATTACAAATAAATATTTTCTAAATCTAAGTAAAATAGAAAAAAGATCGTTTTGCAAGACTGGACCAACATACTGAATGGAATTTAACGATAAACCATTGCTAGATGGTGCCGACGCATCAAAAACGACACGCAGTTTGGTAGTTAAACTAGACTCACGAAAAACTCCATGATGTGGCATGAAATATTCAACATTATTTGCTATATTACTAGTATCTAAAGTCATATGATTTAAATTCTCGTATTCTGTCATAAAATTTGGGTAATATTCTCAGAGATTATTGTTTTTTGCTAACTTTCTTTCTATGGTCTTTTTTCAGCTTGTTCCCTAGACGACCCAAGTAGATTGGGTGATTGTTTAAATGGCAGGGTAACGACAAAACGTCCGGAGGCATCTCTATGAGTAGTTTGTGAGAAAATAGATTCGCATTTGAGCTCATCCTCAGAAAAAACTTTATTTGTGGGAATTTCCTCGATTTCCCAAAATTTTGAAATAGTATTTTGTAACTCAGCATTAGTACTTAAGTGACAAGAAATATTACTAGAAGTATCATCGGCGTGTCCTACCATTCCAGCCAGAACGTAACCTAAATCTGTTTCTTGTAGGAAAGGCATGTGTTTTCCACACGATATCCGATTTTTACCTAGTAAGATCCAGAAAATATCCGCGCCTACTAGAATATCTACGGGGCCTGGCTTATTATAATCTGGGTCTGCTAATTGTACATTTTTAGGAAGACCCAAGCATTGAAAATGGATTCCTCTAGAAGATGAAATATTAGTCACTTCGGGCAAAATAAAGCAATTTAACAAAAGTTTAAAGTTTTTATACAAAGACTTAATTTCGACTTGACACCTTTTCTTAATTTGTGACGTGATATTGGCAATTCCCACAACAGATAAGTTGGTATTTTCTTGTTTCAAACCTAAACGTTTACATAGTGACAAAGAAATAAATGATGACTGGAAACCACAGTCTAATAATACTCGCGCATAATGTTCCCTTCCCAAGTGGTCGTGAATTTTAACCCTAGCCATGGAAAGAAAAACATGCCCAGAGTCTGAATTTTTATATATATCTTGGCCCATTGCAACAGTACTTTCCGAATAATCTTCTGAAGTTGGGGAACTTTGCCGATTTTCAATATGTAATAGAGTATTGTGCCGTTGATTGCACTTTCTACAGGGTCCTGATTTACATCGTTTACCAAAATGATTATTTCTTAAGCAGTTTATACATAGTTTTTTACCTTTTACGAAATCAATTCGGTTTTTAATATCTAGATTTTTAAATTGGTTACATGTATAAATTAAATGATCTTCGCCGCAGAAATAACAAGAAATCTTATTTACCATAAAAGATTTTGTGTCACGAACTTTTTCAGGTTTGTTTCCACGATTTCCCTTATATTCAATAGTTTCCAAGATATCTGCGCGATTTTTCAAGAATCCTGTAAAATCCCCGAGCTTAGGAGTATCTATATCAGCTGAAAATCTCTCCCAATCCATAGCCGTTTTTTGATCTAATTTTAAATTAAGCATAAATATTAAAATGGTGTCCCAGTTAGAAATATCTTGCCCTAGTTGATTTACGGAATTTAAATGCTTAGATAAATCATCAATTAAACCTCGTATTTTATTTGATGATTCTTTATAAATGTTTTCTATTGAGAAAATAGCTTTTAAATGGTTATATATTAATAATTTTTTATTATTAAATCGCTCAGTAAGTGTCTTCCACGCCACTGTATATCCCTTTGTCGAAAACTCTACAGATTTGATTACTTCTGCTGCCTTATTTTTCAAAGATGCTCTTAGGTAATGATATTTTTCGATACTAGATAACTCGGTATTTTTGTCTACTAGCGATTCAAAAGTATCTCGAAATTCGAGCCAATTTTCATAGGCGCCATCGAAGGTAGGTAGAAGTATATCCGGTAATTTAACTTATAATTTTTGATTTACACTAGATTTTGAACATATACTTCCATTAGAATGCAATTCACCCGCTGATCTCAGACCACTTACGTCGTCATCGACGGATAATAAACTTTTAGCAATTGCTACGCTTTCATAATATGTGTCTTCAAATTGAGATCGTTCGCTATATTGTTCGTCTAATTCCCTATCCTCGACAGTGCTCTCTATTTCGTTCTGAACATCGCAAAAATCACTAAAAACGTCCTGAATTTTCGATAATCTTTCTCGTAAATTAGCTAGTTGAAAATTGCTTAACCCCTCTTTCAATGTACTTTGTGCCTCGATATATTTAACAAAATTAGTTAAAGATGATTTTAAACCGCCACGTTTTCTAATTAGAACTTGACTAGCCATGACGATTAAAATAATTTTATTAGGAAAAATACGGATACGGCTCACCTTGCTTGTTAATCCGGCTCGTCTGGACCATGTGTTGTGCTGGTTATATAGTGGACTGTATTTTTTAATAGTTTATTAATGTTAATATAAGATATAACAAATTGTTTTAAATAAAACAAAGAAATGTAAATTCTTGCGGCTTGCCGGGCTGGTGGTAAGTGACAGGTCCCCTTCCGTCGGATTGCTGGACGTCAGGCGCAGAGATAAAAAGTCAAGATCGGTTGCAGCATTTAGATGGAGCGGGGGCAGCATTTAGATGGAACAAGTGCAGCATTTAGAAGTTTGAGCCCAAACACAGGCATTTACTTTATATGGATGACTTAAAGTTGTATGCACGCAATCCCGAAAAACTACAAAGCCAGCTAGAAGTTGTCAAATCCTTCAGTTGGGCAATCAAGATGGAAATGGGACTAGAACATTTTTTTAGTAATGCATGTAAAAAAGGAGTAGTAAACCACGAGCTAAGCACCGTATTGATGGACGGAACAACACTCGAAGCAATAAAACAGGAGGAAGGGTATAAATATCTCGATTTTTACCAATCACTTATTTGGTATCAGCCAAAAGGAAACTAAAAAACAGTTTAAGAACGAACTGATAAGACGTGTCAGAATCATATTGTCATCTAAACTGACATCAAAGAATCTATTTACGGCATTAAACACCTGGGCTATACCTAGTATTGCGTACTCATTTGGTATTTTAAAATGGACCCCAACAGACCAGAAAAGGCAACCTGGCACAAAAATCAGGACTCTGTTAACAAAATATAAATACCACCACCCAAAGTCCAGTGTGAACCGCGTATATGTACCAAGGTCAAGAGGCGGGAGAGGCCTTCTCAATGTAGAAAATTACCACAATACAACAAGTTCAGAAACTGAGGAACTACTTCTTGAGTAACAACTTACCGCTTCACCGTAGCCTCCGAGATATTGACCAAAACTATTCTCTCTTGACTTGATGAACCCCAACAGCCCAACTCTAAGAAATTGGACGGAAATGGAAGAAGAGTGGGCCAGTAAAACTCTCCATGGAAAGTATAGAGCAAACTTAAAAAATACCACAATTAATATGCCGGATTCAAATACTTACCTGAAAGCGGGTTACCTGTTCCCAGAAGCCAAAGGAAGTATACTTGCAATACAAGATCAAATTGTCCCGATCCTGAACTTTAAGAAATATGTCTTAAAAAAGAGAGTTGAAAGTGATCTGTATAAGAAATGCAAGCGTACAGCTGAGGGCATCCAACATATAACAGCAGGGTGTTCTATTTTAGCTCCAAGGCAGTATCTGGCACGACATGACAAAATGAGGAAAATATACCATCAATTTATAGCACTGGGAACTGGGCTAATGGAAGAAGGAATAGAATGGTACAAGTATAACTCAAAGAATATTCTGGAGAAAGCTGAATATAAATTATACTGGAACATCACAATTACAGACAGATCTGTCCTGCATAATCGCCCTTATATGATGATTTTTAAGAAGAAAGAGGAAGAAGCCACAATAATAGATTTTATAACACCATTAGACGAAAACGTCCAAAAAGAATACCTAGAAAAGAAACAAAAATACGAAGAGCTGACATACGGACTTAGACAGTTATACAAATTAAAACAAACAAACATCCTGCTGCTCTGATTACCTCTAGTAATATCCGTCAACAGTTAAATAGATCAACAAACTGTGCGACATACTAAGAATTTGGAACTATCGCCAAATGTTTTATCCACCGCTCAAAAAGCTGCCTGAGAACTGCACGCATAGTCAGATCGTTTCTTTACGCGAACAAGAGACTGCCTCGCTTAATAACCCGGCTCTATCTAATCTCTCCAAGATATCTAAAAGGTGGCTAAAAATGCATCTAATAATAGGCCCTAAATCATTGATATTTTCATCCTGTTTAATTATTTTGCCTTCACACATCCATGTGCTTAATACCCTAGTGCCTTTAGTTTCAAACTTCTGCCTAGTTTATTCTTTAAACTTTTAACTTATTCGATATAGGCTTTCCGGAGACTGACCTGCGAACAAATCCAACACAGGGGGAATACTATTTCCAGCAAAATGCCATTTAACCATCGTAACGTTTTCAGAAGTTGCAAAAATCTAAATTATTTTATACAAAATTACTCTGGTACCTTCAAATTTTTATAAACAAAATGTGACAAATTTGACAATGACACAATCACATTTTTGCTGGTATTTTAATTGTAGATTTCTCTGGGCCGTATTATAAATTTAACTAATCTGAAAGTAGATTTTTGCAAATAACTTTTAAATGACTATTCCAAATAAAACGAAATTCTAGACAAAAGTATATCTTTTGCAATTAACTTAAAACTCTAATGCAATTTTTGCATAAAATTATCTGGGGATATAATATTTGGTCTTTTCAAAATTTACATGGGATTTCCTATGTCCCGTGTTCTGATGCACCACACGGTGTAACTCGAAAGATAGCTTATGAAGTTTCAAATGTTGGAATTTTGAATATTTAATACTCTAAAATGATGATTTCTACATTTCAATTTTGTAGTAATTTTATAAACAATATACCCGATATAGAAAAGTATATATCATTTCCGTTAACTGTACAGATATCTGCTTTGAATATCTAACTCGATCAGAAGACTAATTTTGTTTTTGTTGACCCCTGACAGTGAGCAGACTAACAAATTACCGGAATACGGAATTTGGGAGCCCGTCGAAAATTTCGAAGCTATTTGAAATTGAAATCGGCTGGCGGTCATATCGTGCCTTCACCGGTGGCCAGCCATCGCTCAGCCCATCATCGCTAACTAATAGCGCAAAGCGTAAATTCGGACACAAATAAACTCGACCAGAATCGCGGGAAAAAACTAGGTGACAGTCGCGTCTCGATTTTACCATAATCATTAATAATTTATGGCGATCGAGAGATCGGCCATTATTTTCCCGACGCGGCGCGGCCGGATTGTGTCTGTCTGTCTGGTGCTTTTAAAAGAGCGGGAATTAAAAAATTGAACTTTGCGATACGCCCTTTAATGTTAATTCGAGGAAATGAGAGAGAATGGAGTAGAGACGTTCGTCGTTATCAAATCGGCGGATGACGGAACTCGATTTTTTCGTCTGTATAAACGGTATTGTTCTCGGTTGACATTTTGAACGGAATTTTAATTGGTTGCTTGGAATTTGTTTTAATATATACTTTTGCAAACATAAAAATGTCTCCGCCATTATTACTAGTCTACTCAAATTGAACTTTTGATGAAAAAGTTCTTTAGTAGCTTGAATTTATATAATTATTATTGTTTTTTTTTGGGCGCTGAATCAGAATCTGAAACAGCCTCCACACTATCCCCGAAATGTTTTACGAAATATTTCTGGAAATATTTCATGCAACATTTCGGAAAAAATTTCTGGAAATCTTTCTGAAGTAAACTCAAATATAAGCCCGTGTTACAAAAATTAGTTCCCGCTTTTCCTGAAATAGTAATATATATAATATTTGGCTAATAGACCGAGATAAACAACAAAAAAACAAACAACCAATAACGACGCGTCTCGATCTATTTCAGGAAACGTAGAAACTATTTTTGCACGGGCATATATTTATTGTACTATTTCGTGAAATAGGACGAAGCAATCAAAGTAAAACATTGTGATGGCTT